GTCCCCTGATAATTTCCTGGGGGTATTTACTCTGCTCAAATGTAACTGAAAAACTAATGGCGCCGACACTGCTTACAAATCCATGCCCTACACCCCTCTGATCCCAGCATAATCCACTAAAACCACTGCAGACAAGCTGCATGCACCAAGACAAACAACTTTTATTGCGTTTTCCTTTATACATTTATTTTGGTTATGTCTTACCCAGATTCAGAGAAAACAAGTTGAAAAGCAGAGTATCCCTTTATTACATTTTACATTACCCTTTCCCCAAGGCCAACTTGGGTTCAGGTAGCTACCTGGGCTCCCCCTCTCGCTGTGGGACAAGACTTCTAGCAAAGGTTTGTCAGCTTATGCATTTCCTCTCCCCAGCTTTCGTTCCATACTAGAGGGGTGTGCCAATGCAACAGCTGTGTTGCCACCTGGTGGCTACTGCAGGTAGTGCTGCTAAGCAGTATAAAGCTTAACCCCCATCCCCAAGGTAGGTTTCATGCTAATCCAGGTTGCGTCCCCTGTCTCCCCACCCTGTCCCAGGAGTTGAAGGATGCCCAGCCAGCTCTTTCAGAAAGCATCAATGCCACGTAGAGCGGCAGCAGTGACAAACAGCGGGTGGCCAATGCCCCATGCACAAAGCAACAGCCCCTCTGCAAAATTCAGCACCCTGCCATGAAGGTGAAGCTCACAGGAAAGAGGCAACCCCCACTGTGCAGGGTACAGCTTACATGGGGAGCACCCCCACTGAACATTAAGGGGTGGGGGGAGGGATGTTAAGTCAGTCACCACAAACCAGCCTACATGAAAGGGGAAAAGGAAGCAGCCTACACACAGCTCCCCAGTGTGCTCCCGCCGCTGGAAAAAAAAATAAATACATGGGAAAAAAATACAAAAATGTTTATTGCAAACTACTACAATAATTTATTGAAGCCAACTGCATGCGAGTGGTGGGAGAGACCCAGTGGGGGAGAAGCAGCAGGAAGGCAGTGAGTGTCAGTTTTTGTTTTTTAAACCCGGGGCTGGAAGGGACACAGGTCTCTCCTGCCCTGAGGTGAGAAGGATGTTTAAAGATAGAAACAATAGGATGAGACCAAAGGCGAGGGAGGGAGGAAGGCTAGAACTAGAAAAAGTGTGGGAGACAAGGGGGCAAGGAAGTGACAAGCATGAAGGACTTCAGAGCCAAATCACCCACTTATTGCTGCCTCCTGGAAACAGGAGACACTTCCCCTATTCTGGAAAAATACCCATCTTATTTCCCCATTGAGAGTGAGTGGGCTGCGTCACTCTACGGGTAAGTCACGGGGCAGTCTCCACAGCAGGCTGCTGGCTGTTGCACCACCCAAGTGCGTTTTCCACCCAATATGGCATTTTTGGGCCATCCTTAGAAAGAAAAGGAAATTGATAAGGCTAAGTTCTCCTTTTAGCGTTCCATGGAAGGCTTGGGCTACACCAGACTTCAAACCAAGGGTTTTCACACAGCTTCTGCAGAGCTTGTTGGTAGCAGTATCTGGCTGCTAAAGCTAATCTGCACCGCATCAGAATGCAAACCAAGCAAATTCAGGATCTAACACGTGGGTTCACGAGTTAGCCACAGCCATTCTAGTCAGCGAAACATGTTTAGGGCTAGCTGAAAGCTTTCCATCAAAACTGAGTTTTGAGTGAATTGTATTTAATTGTCTGCAGAAAATGTTAAGCTTCCCACCCAAAAACCAAAATCTTCAATTGTCAAGTGTTCAAACAGCACTGATTTTTTTTTTTTTACAACCCTCCAAATGACATTAGTTCTCTCATTTCAGAATCAAGGGAGATGCAGTTTGAACACAGAGCCCAGCACATGGGGTGACTTGCAGCTGCTCAGGTAAACAATTTAATGTTTAACTGACCCAAACGGATGTGAAGTGAAATGTTCCACAATGTTGGACCAGCATATTTCAATGTAGGTTGACCTGACCGGCAACAAGACATTTTGCTAGGATTTTCCCAGAAATTTTTGGTTGTCAGCCTGTTTTCAGTGTTTACACAATTCCAATTAAATGTTTTTCTGGTTTGTCAAAATTTTCTGCAGCAACCTACATTTTCCAACCAACTCTACTATAAGCATGTTTTGCTGGCTCAGTGTTTGAACAGGGCATTGTAACTTTCTTCTGAGCCACACTGACATATTCCTCACTTCTTCCAAAAAAGCAAACAGTGGCAAAGTCACCGCATGATGTTTCTGACAAGGGACAGAGCAAAGGATTCACATTCAATACACATGATGTCTTAAACCTTTTTGAGGGACAACAGCTGTCTTAACTACCAGGCTATGCATTCCCATCTCCTGCTCTTAGGCAAAATGGAATCCTGTTTCACAGAAAAGAGGAACATCTGCATCCAAGTGCAAAAACCGGCCTTGTAAGGAGCATGGGTAGGGGGAACCCACCCCATGCTCTCTCTCCTAAGGGCGTCCATGCAGGGAGAGAAGTTATCATTCCCATAATGAGATGGGGTCTGCCTCTATTGAAATCAAGTGCAAGCTATGCCCAATATCTTCCCCATAGCCATGTCTTTCAGGAAAGGGGAGGCAGAATTGCATGGGAAATGTGAGATCCTGCACTACTTAGTTACACATCTGTCACAAGACCAGAACAAGTTCCTTGGCTAATAGTGCTAACCCTTCCAACAGCAGGAGTGAGGATAAATCAGTGAGAAAAAAGGGTTAATGCAGGGAGCTTGCAATAAATTGGGGAGGGCAAGAGACCACAATATAAGTTATTTCTGCAGTTCAGAGCCCTATACTAAGCTATTCATCCCCACTGCCTACCCCACCCCCAAGCAAACAATTGCCCCAAAACTCTACAATGCAAGTGGAGTTCCTCCCTTGGGGTCTCACACTGCCCTGTGAACAAACAGCTACTGGACTTCCCTTCGTAGTGCTTTCACCACCCTGATTCTTTGTGCCCTAGCAGCTGCTGCTCCAACATGGCTTACCCCACGAGTTCCACTGATGAAAAGGAGCCCACCTTGGAATAGGCCAATCCGCCCCAATGTAATTAAAAATACCAGACCCTCTGATCAATAAATAAGGACTTTTGTTACCACCACACAAAAACGAAACATGTTCAAAGTGCAAATGACTGTCACCAATTGGAGACTTCTCACTGCCTCTCCCGCACAGGGCTCTCGTCCAGAGCCAAGCCCCAGCATCTCAGCAAGCGAGCACCATCTGAGTGCCAGGGTGTTCTCTCTGCTTCACGTCAGAGCCAGAGAGGAGGGGTACCAGAGGGGGGACAGGTGCTGTTTTACAGCTCACCCAGCTGAGGGGCCCTAAAGTGCCAAGCCAAACTCCCAGCCCCAGGAGGAAGAAGACAAGACTGCAAGGACCAGAATGCAGCAATGCATAGAAGTTGGGCAGAGGGAGTCCGAGGAACAAGAAGCTGGTCCGGAGCCCAAACTCCTTCAAGTTTGCAAACAGATTTGTTGAGGAGCAGGGAAGGTGCCTGGGCGTGGGGTGAGCGAGGGCCTCTGACTGCTTCCCTTCACTCAGCACATTCCTTTGCTCTGTCCTGCTCCAGTAATGGCGGCAGCCCTTTCCTGAGAAGGGATAGGAGGACAGAGAAGGGGATAGGAAGCGGGGGGTGCTGTGATCCACACTGGAGGGGAGCAGGCCCTTCGCTTATTTACTGGTATTTTAACTTTGTTTTACTTCTTTAACAAGTTTCTCCGTTTTTCTTTTAAATACAAAGTCCGAGCTGTCCCAGCTACCGCGTGCGTCCTGCCTGCTAAGGCCCGGTAGAGTCAGAATCTTCTATCAGAACCTCTGTGGTGGCTCCCAGAATCTCCGTGTTCATGACCAGCCCTTCTGTGCTCCCGCTGCTCCCGCTGCCAACTAACATCTTGCCGCCAGCCATTTCTGCTTTGGATGCTGCTGAAGCAGTTTGTCTCAACAGCCCTCTCAACGATCCAGCAGTAAGGGGTCAGGAAGGAGGGGCAGGCCCTGGCCATCGGTAGTTGGGGCAATGGCCTCTGGACTAGTGCCCAGGATGTCGGTGCTGGTGATTAGGGCACCTGCATTGGCAGCTAGTGCTTCGGCGATAAGCACCTCTGGGTGGCTCTTGGCCTTATGTGCTACCACGCTGTCCTTCTTCTCAAACTTCTTGCCACAAATGTTGCAGGAGAACTGGTAGAAAGAGTCTGCATCATGCTTTTTCATGTGCCAGTTCAGGGAGGCCTTCTGCCGGCAGGTGAAACCGCAGATCTCACACCTGGGCAGTAAGAAGGAAAAAGAGGTTTGTGTAGGAACATGGACACGAGGGGATGCAAGCAAATGCAGACATCCAAAGCCCAGACCAGAAGACAGCTGCAGAATTGCAGGCAGGTGTGGGAGGCAGGCAGCTGTGGCTGGGGGAACGTGGCCTGTTGAAGGAGGTAGAGCAGTGGTCACCAAATGTTGGATCATGATCGACTGACCGATCCAGGGGGGTGGGGGTGGTCTCCCAGGCGATTGCAATTTCTGGTGATGGAGCAAGGCTGCAACTAAGATGGGCTCCCTGTCTGTACTGGCCCCACACTGCTGGCCTGTTGCCAGGAGCAGCCAGCATGGGCCCGTATGTGTGGAGAAGAGGTGGGGGATTAAGAGAGGACAGGATTCTTGGCACATTGCTCCTGTTTACAAGCACTGCCCAGGAACAGGGAACTGCGGCCAATGGAACTGAGGGGGCATATGGCAGCCACATGTCCCTGTCCCTCTACCTCTGGGAACAGAGGAGTGTGTTGGCTCTTTCTATGAGCAACAGGGGGCCAGGTCAGGCAGGGAGTCTGCCTCAGCCTTGCTGCACTGCCAACTGGGAGCTGCCCGCAGAAAGTGCCGCCTGATGAGAGGCTGCACTCCAACCCTCACAGGCCCCTCCTTTAACCAGCATCCAGACCCCCTCCTGCACCTTGTACTGAAGCCCTGAGTCTCCTCCCAGAGCCAGCACTCCATACCGCTTCCTGCACCCCAAGCCCCTGCCCCAGCCCAATGAGAGATAGAATGTATGCATGCACGTGTATGTGGTGCAAATGGAGTGAGCAGGGCAGGGCTCTGGGGGAAAGGGTGGGGCAGATCTTGAATTGCCCTTACATTCAGAAAGATTGTGTGTATAAAAAATCCTGAAGACCACTGAGGCAGAAGCATGTTTCAAAAAGGCGAGGCAAGACAATGCTGGAATACTCACTGTAAAGGCTTCTCGCCTGTGTGGATCATCCGGTGCACTGCCAAGTTGTGGGAACTCTTAAATGCCCGGGCACAGTATTCACAGATATAATCCCTTTGATCTGTAAAGCAGCAGACGTGTCCTTTCAACCCAAGAATATGGTTCTGATCCAGATTAGGGATGTGAAAATGTAACTAACATGCACAGTTATATGTAGCTCCCTCTCCTGCTGTTACCTCTATCAGCTCCCAGGAAGCTGCCTCCCACGCCATATGTAATTGCTGAAATTTTCAGTGGTTACACATTTAAATGCATTTTAACATGCCTAGCCCAGATGCAAGTCCACTCATCTGAAAACTGCCCCATGTCCCCACTTTTAATTTCAAAGGTTCTCGGGTGGAGCTACTTGAAAGTGAAGCAGCAATTTGAGCATTAAGAACTGCCTGATCCTCCCAGGACTAATGATAGAGAAAGCAACTCAGATTGCTCAACAGCAAGCCTGGTGGATGATTAAAGGTAGAGCTGATAGGTTTAGGAGGGAATCACTGACCAATCCCAAATGCTTGACAAGAGCATCTTAAGTATGGAGAAAACAGGAGGACACTGTTGCCAAAAGCAACCTGTATGCCAAATAAAAGAATGGTGCAGTACAGAGGTTTATTTCTACCTCTGCATCATCTAATGGGTATGCGTGAGCAGTTAGACAGCAGTCGCAGCAGGAAGGGAACACCACCCAGTCATCTGTGCTACCTGGGTCAGCCTCCTTCTTGCTTTGCCTCAGAAGAGCTTATGTTCTCCTCCTCCATCCGGATGATAGGTTGGATTCAAGCCTCCCCACCTCCCCCAGTACCTGTGTGATGTTTGGCATGCCGTAGCAGCTGCTTCTGCAGCCGGAAGAGCCGTCCACAAGAGGGATGGGGACACACATATTTCTTCTTCAGCAGATGTTGATATTTGATGTGATGCTAGGAAAGGTAACAAAAAGGTTACAAAGCTTCTCCCTGACTGACTAAAGGAACTGCTGAAAATCAGATTCGAGGTGATAAGATAACACGAGCAATCACATTACAGTCAAACTCCTTGCGCACTGCAGGAGAACTAATAGGATACAAGTAACCAGGCTCTGAGATCTGGTGAGAAAAAGCAGAAATATGGGTGAAGAAACACATATGGAAGTTATACCAGGGCTGGGCTTAACTTCATTGCTGGGCACTAGCTAGTAACATCTGGTTTTTCTATAGCACTTTTCATCAGTTGATCTGACAATGAATTACCAAAGGTGCAGAGCAGCATTATGCCCATATTACAGATGGGGAAACAGGCACAGGACAACGACTCACTCCAGATTACCCAGTGGGCCTCTGCCAGAGCTGAGTACAGAACCCAGAACTCCTGAGTCCCAGCCCAGTGCACCACCCACTAACCCAGCACCTCCTCTACCAAGCAATACCAGAAAGGAACACAGCAGGGAAAGGCAAAAGAGCAGCAGCTTCCTGACCTCAGATCCAAGTGAACGAAAGAGCCTGACTGACCTGCAAATAACGAGGGTGGGCCAGGACTGTGCCACAGCCTTCCATCTCACAGCGTACATACTGTATCGGAGGCTTCTTCCTGCGAAGTACATGGGACAGGAATGCACAGGGAGGTTAGTTGGGAAATATGAAGATGCGGGATTTGGTCAGATAAAGCCAGTTCAGCTCACCAAAAATATGCAAGGGACAAGCTGACTGATTCAACTGTCTTGTGAGAGTCAGCTCATTTCAACTTGTGCTCTCCCCCGTAGCTCTGCACCAATCGGACTGATTGTGGGTTTCCATTCACGTGTGGTCATCACCCAAGAGGTGACAGTGAAAGCGCACCTCTAACTTGCCTCTGCCATGCTACCCACCAACTCAAAATGAAGTCAGGTCATTTTCAAGAATTCATAGCAAGTCGCATGGTGGTTTTAGGGTGAGCTACAATTATTTCTGAACTATGCTCCATACAAACATGTATGAAATAGCTGATTGAGGTGGTTAACCTCTCTACACAAGAAACGGAAAGGACAAAACACACACTAAGGGAAGTGGAGAAAAGGCAAGTCACTCACCTTCTTTTAGGCAGCCGTGGGCTTTTGTCATCTTTTCTCCTCCTTCCCCTTCTGAGATAGGATTAGAGAGACAGAATTAAAATGATGCTCCTTTGGGAGGCACAAGGACACAACTGGGAAGCCTTCTGCACATAAGTAATCCAGAGCATGGCTCTGTGTGATGGGAGAAATCCACCATTTCAAAGCCTGAGAGAGTCAGTTAGTGGAGCAGGAAACAGCTCCCACAGCTCTGATATAAAGCCCATGGATGACAATGAAAGACTTTTGACTTGCCTCCATGGCTTTTATATCAGGGCCATTTAACATATATGGCTTCAGAAAAATCAGCAGCCATCCAAACTAAGATACATGTTGCATCCCCCCGAACACTAGAGGATTGCCAAGCGATAGCAGGTTTTCCCCCCAGTGGCAATATGCCATTCTCATAGGGATGTTCTTTCCATAAAAACTAGTAATTTTGGTTTTTGTATTCTTAGGCCACAAGAGGGTGCCAAACCCACCAATCCAGCCATGCTCAATCCATGTATAACTAGCCCCGGTACCCACAGCTGTGGATCTCAAGCAGAATTAGGAACTGAAAGATCAAAAATGGCCCTCAGGAAATTGTGCTTTTACATCTACTGTTTTTTCCAGCAGCTAAAGTATTCGTATCACACAGATCAATTATTCTGTGCATAGCACTCAGAGTCCATCAGGATACTGGATATTATACAAACACATACAGAAGAATGTACCTGTACCAAAGAGCACACAGTGAATGTTTAAAATGCATACCAGTAGTCACAAAGCAATTGTATATAGTGAAAGAAATGAAAGCTGTTAACACAGGCATCACAGACATCAGAGTCTGCACTAAAAGATGAGGGATGGGGCTTACAAGACCTAATAGGAGAGGTCTCTCTGATGCGACAGTGAAGCTTCTCAATAACACTCAAATGTGCTCAGTTTATAGGAGGTGTTTTTCCGTGTCCAGAAAACAAGCTGGGATCTAAAAGTTCAGTTAGGTCCCTTTTGGCTCAGATAAGCAGAGGAGTGTCAGGGCTCAGTCAGTGTTTAGAGTCAAGCTAACAGAAGCCAGCTCATTCTACCACTATCTATCTGCTCTGTGCAGCTAACAGGCATGACAAATAGTAAAATCCTCTAGTGTCAGAAAAGCAAGTAGATGTAACTTGGACAGAAGAAGATTTGGATTAAGACAGCTCTTTCTTTACAAAGAGCTATTAAAGGATTGGTGTAATGCAAGTCATAAGAATCTTTTCAACTCTAATGGTATTTGTGGCTTTTCTCTCAGGATTCTCTAGCTTCCAATATCAAACACTGTAGCTCATGTGATCATCCAGACACAAAAAGGTTACAGTGTGTTTTTCAGAGCACAACTAACTTTAAAAATGGCACCTGCTCATATAACAGATCTGCCTAAATTAACTTGTTACTTTTGTTAACACTGCAGCAATCACATTTATAGGAGAGAAATGGATTCTTTCCTAGTTAGCATTCTGTTTGCTGACTCTTGATGGTTGACGATAGGTGAGCGAGTAAGAATCCACAATGAGCTCACAGGATTGGCATAATTGTAATTCCTTAAACTAAGGTGGTTTGATCTGGAGTGACTGAATATATCAGGGAGCCCACAAAGGCAGGGTTTAGAAAAGCCCACTTGCAAGATGGTCATGGACCACCGAGAACCACTGCTCTAAAAGGAAAGCATAAAACACTGGCCAAAATGCCTATGCAAACATACATGCAGGAACAGCTGTCCCTGGAATCTTTTACTCACTTCCTGGGTGGCTCCTCATCTTCCCGAAACTCACTTTCTTCTTTCACCTCCACCTCCACTTTAATCTCCTTCTGTTTCTCTTTTTCTTCCTTCCCCTTGCTTACTTTCCTCCTTGGCTTTGGAGCGTCCCTAAACAGATACAAATATGATACACTCTAACACTCAAGCACTCAGCAGGAGTAGTGCCGTCACAGCGCCCTCTGCATTTACACTGCAACACCACTGCGCTCCATTTCACCCCACAGGGGCAAACCCTGGGAACTGAGGACTCTAGGATCCATCCCTCGCATCTCCCCTATCATATTCCTTCTGGCCCATGCTTTTTATTAAGGATGATGAAGGGAGGGCGTTCAATAGGCAACTTTGGACGCCTACACAACCATTACATACACCTCCCTGCAGAAGCAGGGATATCCTTACATCAAACCAAGGTTCAGGGATAAGCTGGTAGTCATTGGCACTCAAACCCAAGTCACCTGATCTATTTAGATAAGATAATTTTTCTATTAGTTTTAATCAGTGGAAACCCTGGCACAGCTTATGGGACTCACCAATCTGGACTAAGAGAACCATCTGTCTTTCAAAAAGTGATGCTAGGCTTGAATAAAGTTCTTGGTTTGATGCAGATATTAGGGCAGGAATGGGGGGGCCACAAGTGGCCCTCCTTCACTTCGGTGGGCCACAGAAGCCCCGCAGCCCACTGGCATTCCACCTGCAGTCCCCATGTACTTACCTGCTCCGCCCTTTCCCTGACAGCACATTTGGCACATACAAATCAGCTGATCTATTTACAACAGCGATTTGTGGCGTTCCAGCTCTGGAAAGGAGGGAGAGGAGCACTAAGTGCATGGTTCCAGAGGGGATGGCAGATGTGGGCCTCAGGTTGCCTGCCACTGTATTAGAGGTTGAGATTCTTTAGCTTGGTTTTGGTGGGAGGTGATCATCTACTCTGACAATAATCCCCTCTGGTCTTGCAAGCTATGTATGTATATAAATCCAGTATACCTTTCTAAGTGGGGTTTGTAGGTTTCATCTCTTGGGTCATCTTTGAAGGGAATCTCTTCTTCACTGATCAGCATCTCCTCCTCTTCATCACAGCTATGAGGAAAGGCAAAACAGAAGAGGTAGTAGGGCTGCTTACATATGAAATAAATCATAGCAGGACACTCCTTAGAATAGCAGAGGATATCCTTCAGCCAAGACTATTCAGGGAATATGAACAGCCTATATAAAATGAGGAAAGTGATGCATGATAGATATGACAATTTCCTCCTTGACAAACCTTACGGAATTAAGTATAAGTATTTTAGAAGTTCACTGTATTGAAAATGCATCTGTTTCTACATTATTGCGGAATCACAGAATACTAGAACTGGTCCAGTCCCTTGAGAGGTCCAGCCCCCTGCCCTCATGGCAGTACCAAGTCCCATCTAGATCATCACTGATCTAGATGGCATCTATCTAAACTGCTCTTAAATATCTCCAATAATGGAGATTCCACAAACCTCCCTAGGCAATTTATTCCAGTGTTTAACCACCTTGACACTTAGAAAGTTTCTCCTAATGTCCAACCTAAAACTCCCTTGCTGCAGTTTAAGCCTACTGCTGCTTGTCCTATTATCAGAGGCCAAGGAGAACATTTTTTCTCTATCCTCCTTGTAACACCCTTTTAGGTACTTGAAAACTGCTATCATGTCCCCTCTCAGTCTTCTCTTTTCCAAACTAAATAGGGTCAATTATTTTAGTCTTCCCTCATAGTGCATGTTTTCTAGACCTTTCATTATTTTTGTTGCTCTTCTCTGGACCCTTTCCAATTTCTCCACATCTTTCCTGAAATGTGGAACCCAGCACACCTTGTATAGAATATCTCTAGGCAGGAGCCCAGCTAATGTAAAGTCTGGGAGGGGCTCTGAGCTTCAAAGGACTATCTGAAACAATGAATTTTTAAAACTGGGGTTCCCAGGAAGTCTCTAGGGAAGGTGTGTGCAAGTGTAAACTCCTCTGGGGATGCAACAAACTCAGCCTATGAAACTTCTTGAGGAGGAGGAAGCCTTTTGTCTGCCGACTAGTTATTAATTGAGGACAGATAAAGGCCTCAAGTGGATAAGAGAATGACTCATCACCCCTTACTGGGCGAAGCTTACCAGTTAGGTTAACCTGCTGGAGCATCACCTTGCCTGTTGTGGGAAGGGGCTGAGCCAGCCCAACTGGAGCAGGCCCCCGCAACCATTTAGCCGGTTAACTAATTCAATGGGATTTTACATCCCTAGTTCTGGGTCAATGTGGTTATGAACTTGTAACCATGGGGGAAAAGTCCTTGGTGTGGTTTGAAGAACTGTTCGCCTGCCAGACCCCTCGTTGGGGTTTGGGTTGGCAGGGAAGGAGGGGAGAGAATCTCTGGTAAGCTTGTTAGCATACATGTAGGTTTTCTTAATTTTTTAATGCTCTAAGTTAGTGAAGGGCAATCTAGGCTAACGAATGGGTTGCATGAGTGGCCCAACTTCATTTCAGTGGGCTGCAAGATTGTCATAACCAGGACTGTTTTCCAGGATAGTGCAGTTAGAAAAACCATCCTTGCCCACCTAAAACTTGCAGGGTGTGCCCAATGAACTGTAGCAGCGCTTTGACTGGATGCAGAGGGAGCACACAGCTCTCAGTCAATGTTGTGTGCAATCAGCATGCACCTCAATTCACGTGCCTTTGCTTTAAGTGCACGTCACTTTTAGAATACTGGTAGGAAAAAAAACTATGCAGGTGAAAACCAGCAGAATCTGGCAACCCTGTGACTGGGCAATAGTAAAAAAAAGTCTTGTGGGTCACACGGAACCCCAAAGGGCTGCATGTGGCGGGCCACAGGTTGCCAACGACTGTTCTAGGTAATGCTTTTATCTGAAGAATGCATGTGGTTGCTTAGAGTGGTGTGTTAGCTTACTTGTGGTCATGACAGTGTTTAGAGTCTGAGAAAGCCAAGCAGGCTTGCTAAGGCAGTGTGCCTTTTAGGGAATTTAGTATAGACAGGGAGCCTGTAAGCCTGGGAATAGCCCAGAGTTTGGAGGGAGATAGATGCAGGTCACCAGAAGCCTGAGTGGGTACCCTTGCTGGACCATGGAGGGACTACAGACGCAGTTGCCTTGAACTGTGAAACCCTCTAAGCACAGCAGAACAGCCTCTGCCTAATAACCTGATGGGAACATGACCTTGATTTACATTTTTAAGATTTACTGTGTGTTGTCAACAAGTCAGCAAGCGACATGGTTACAGGACCTACTGAAGGAGCCCCACTACTATGTAATCAGTCTGGATTAAATCCACCCTGTACTTTTTACATGTTCGCATCACTGCCTTGTCCTCTGCATAATAAGACATCTCCTCAATGCAAACTGAACTGGTCTTACCATGGCAAGTTCAGGATCCTTTCAGTTGAAGAGTTAACTTAGTATTCAAATGGCTACTAACTCTTCCCATGGCCCTAAGCAAAGAGAAAAATTCAAACCAGAGCTTCCTACCTGATTGCAGTTGGAGACTGATGCTCTTCTGTGACCTCTGTAAAGGAAAGCCACCGTTAAGCTTTTAATCACTGTTCGCTAGGGACACAGACCAGACTGCAATGTGCATGTTTGTCTGGAAGTATCTCTGCCAATGTTTACCACCAGGTTGTGTGGCAGCTGATGAGAATACATTCAGGATAGTGAGGCACCACCATGTTTTTTGCCAGTCGTTTTTAGCTCATTGTTTGCATTTTGGCACCAAATTTCTATATCTGAACTGTCAGCCTCAAACTGTCTTGCTGGTATTGTTTACACTTTAATCCCAATATTTCCCACTGCCCTAATTGCTACATACCATACTCAAGCTGATCCGTGTTTGGTTCTGACTTGCAAATGAGCTGCAGGGATCCAGTCTTGGACCTGGAGCTGCGTGAATTTTCTGAGTCACGTTGGCGAGCAGCAGCAGCTGTCCTGCTGCTGCGCCAGCCTCGGCCGGACCTGGCTGTACTGACAGGAGACCCCTGGGTGAGGACAGTGGAAACCTCTTCCTCCTCCCTCTCTTCTTTGGGATCTATGAAGGAAACACCCAAAGCAATCTCTAGGTTAACAATGAACAAACTCAGCTCTACGCTTTGCTGGCCACAATGCCACAAGTTTATTGCTTATTCAATAATGAAGATCTTTACACCCCCATGTACAGTAATGGGTAGAGGAACGTGAATCCGGACTATAACATTGCCAGATCTTTCACCTCACAAGAGGAGGACTCTTGGTACAGCATATAAACAGAACTGCCAAAGTTTTCATCACACTTTTCACCCATGTATTTTCTCTGGAAGCCAGGTCCTTGTACCTCAGAAGATAGATAATCTGATGTTTTTAGAAATTACGTTTCTCAAGCTAAGGCTCACATGCAAAGGACTCAACATAAACTGCCCCACTGGGTCACAGAAGTCATCCTTCAGGGAAATTTTGCTACCTGTCTTCCACTCCCAGCAGTCAGAAGTTTAGGGTCAAACAAAGCATGCACTTGTGTATCTTACTATTTTGGATAACAGCTATTGATTGACCTATCCTCCATGAACTTATCTAGTTCTTTTTTTAAACTAGTTCTACTTTTGGCCATCACAACACCCTTTGGTAATGAGTTTTAGAGGTAGACTGCATTGTATGAAAAGTGCCTCCTCCTGTTATATTAAAACCACTGCCTATTAATTTCATTGGGTGATGTGTGGTTTTTTTACACTGAAAGGGTAAAAGACACCTCTCTATTCACTTTTTCATGATGTTAGAGACTTTTAATATTTAACTCAATATATGCGCCATTAGTTGGGTCTCAAACTGAACAGTCCTAATCTTTTTAGTTTCCTCTTGAATGGAAGTCATACCATATCTTTCGTCATCTTTGTTGCCCTTTGTCCCCAACTAACCTTCACGCTCCTATAATTATAAAGCAATGAAACAAACAGATTTCACTAAGCAGTTACAAAAATAAACGTTTGTTAACATCCCTACTCCACAGTGAATAGCTCAAGTGCTTGCCTCTCCTGTTACTGAAGGTTTTCTTGCCAACAACAGTATTGTGAAACTGACATGATTCTTGACCATTTCACTGCTGTCCAGAAGTAGGGACTAGCAACTGCAAAACAGACAAGAGTTAGTAGTTTCACTCTGCTGGAATTCAGAATTTAAGCAGCAATGCTATGGTTCCCTCTGTGGGACTGTATCTAAGCTGCAGAGAGTTATATTCAAAAATCCCCACCTCGCCAAACATATGGACGAGAAATAAAAGTTTTCCTAGAAAGATGAAGACTTGGATTCTGCAGAAATCATGACTCAGCACGCCTACCACTGATGAGGCAAAGTTTCTCTCTCCCCGACAAGTGGATTTTTCAAGCCCTGTTGTCAGCGGTTAGGACTAGGGCTTAGACCTGATGGTTTGTACAAAGTGTGGATGGTTTGTACGAAGAACTGATAACTTACTGTGAAGCAATGAACAAGATTTTTCTATGGTTTTACATATATTGAGCAAACTTTAATTTCAGAACAAGACCTATCCCATTTCTCTGCTGCACAGTTTATGTTAAAGTTTGTAGCCCTATTCAGCTTTCTCTCTGCCTCAATTCAAAATAATCTTATTTTGATTGATTTCCAGATCAGTCCCTTCATTTGACTATATTATGGAATAATTTGAGATTCCTCTATCAAGTGCCACCTCTACACAAATATTAACCCTTTTACCACTGCTCTTGAAAAAGTACATCCAACATACCACATGTGACAATTTCATGGCACTTTTTAAAAGTAAAACATTTAATAAACCATTTCCTGATTTTTTTCATTTCCAAAGTTTACTCTACTTTAATATCTTTGTCTCGCAAATTGTGTTGTTCTTTCCATGTTAAGCTGACTTCTGTACAGTCCAAACAAATATTTCATGAATACCAAGAAATTGAGTTAAACATTCTGTTTTACATTCAAAGCTGTTTGAACTTATGTGCATCTATCAGTTTAAAACCATTACAAACCCCATAAATCACTACCCTAAGTCATGTGTGTGAAAGTCACAGCTGTATCATACAAGATACAGCTGCAATAAACAATCAGGCTTACTAACAGGTGAACTCATTGATGTTCACTGCAATTCATCAGTCCTAAAGAGGAGATTCCAATGAAATGCTGTTGGATTAAACCTTTTCTCCCCACAGTGCTAAACCATTTCTGTAGACGAGAGTGGTTCTTTTGAAGAAGCTAACTTTTCCAAATCAGTATTCATGCATCCCTAATAATTACAACTCTGCAATAAATCTGTCTATAGATCTGAGAACACTCTTACAGAAAAAGCAGCACCTTCTGCCATTGTTGTATTCTTGTCTAACTTAGCCACTTCTAATGTCTTGAGTTGTGTATTATCTTTCCTCTAGAGATGCTGCAGACATTACAACTCCACCTGGTGCGCCTTCTCTGCTTTGAGATTCACTTATCCTAAACTACAGCATCCTGTGTATCAAACATGTTTACCAAGCAGGTCTGAATGAGTTTGGCACTCATGGTTCTTTCCTTCCAGAGTCTGACCAGTGTTGTGTATACTGACCTTATTAAAACTAGAGGATTGTTTATTTTAACAGTAGGAACAAAGCATTTACAGAAAAATGGATTTTAAAACAAACAGCCTGCACTTGTGTTTGTTTTACCCAAAGGCCTCCCATCTCCTGATGCTGACCTGGGCATGTGACCACCTACTTCAAAGACCCCTGAAAGTGTCTGCATCTTATTTTAGTTCTCCAGGACAACTACCCAAAAAAACCTATCTTTGTCTCCTGACAGAGTCCCTTCTTTAAACTCTGGTGTTTTACTATTCCCGTTCCTAGGTCTTTCCATACCCTTAAATGTTTGCTGAGAAGCAACTTCCATCCTGAGCCATTCCTCTTTCCACTTGTTTATTCTTACAATCTTCTACAGTAAACATCCCAATAACCAGGTCAACATACTTCATTTGTTAAATTACACAGCAGCTCTACTTCAATCACAATAAGCATTAAACCAGGGTGGAGAACCCTTTTTGGGTTGGAGGCTGCTGACTCACAGAAAAATCAGTCAGGGCCTGCACACAAGCAAGAAGCAAACTTTGTCACTCACATGGTCCCCAACTGAGAAGGAGAAAGACATTCCCTACATTTACCTCACACACCAGAGCCTATGTTAACCCAAGCTAGTACATTTTGTGTGCTCCAGCCCCACAGTGGGGCAACAGGGTCCCCAACGGAGCCCTGAGCCTCAAGGGTCAGATCCAGGCAAGCCAGGGGCCACATCCAGTCCTGAAGTTCCCCAACCCTGAATTAAACCCTTAAATATTAGTTTAAGCAAAGAAAATGCCATCCAACAAAAAGAAGGAGTTAGCTTAGCATGGAACAATAAACATTTCATAACAAATCTGTGCAGCTAACAAAGCTGACAGAGCTTTGGATATTCAGGGTTTCACTTCTCTCAACTGAATGATCTCAGATAATCCTCCATACTCATGTAACATCTGCTGGACAAGGTACACTGTTTTCTTCCTTATGCAAGTTCTGCTTTTGGAGCATTTTTTACAGAGATAAGACAGTTCTCTCTCCAACTCAGAGCTATTCAATCTATTTTAAGTATATGCAAGGATAGCAGAAGATGACAGGTATCGAAAGGGCTAAATGCTTAAGTACTTCTGGCAGCCTCTCCCCCACCACTCCACAATTGCTTTAGGCAACGTTTTCCTTTTGAACTCAGCTTTCTGCAGCAAAGCAAAAAAACTCATTCCCACAATTCACTGGAAGGCGACAGTGAGATTTCCACACTTGTTGCACACTTTCTCCCTAACAATCAGGAGTGTACCATTGTCCCATACCAGCTTATTCCTTAATAGGAGTTTTCAAGGAGCTTGGGCTACACCATTCTCTCTCTCTCTTTATTATGTAAGGGTACGTCTACACAGCAGTGTTATTTCTGAATAACTGACATTTCAGAACAACAAAATGTGCATCTACACAGCAAGCCATTATTTTGAAATAATGTCAAGATGGAGGATTTCTTACTCAGACTCCTCGTGAAATGAGGGTTACAGAAGTCCAAGGAAAGAGCGTTCTTCCTTCGACTTCCTGCTCTGTAGATAGCACTAAAAGCCATGTTAAGCTATTTCGACTTCAGCTACGCAATTAACGTAGCTGAAGTCGCATATCTTAATTCAACTTTTGTCTTGCTGTGTAGATGTACCCTAAGAGTGCATCTATACTTTAGAATGCTGGCTGACCAAGTAGTTTCAGCAGAAGAGACATACCCTCCACAGACAAGCTCTCTTTCAAGTGAATGCTCCAGAACACTGGTGAAAAAGGAAAGTGAAATCCTGGAGAGGTATCAAATACTGGACCGTAAACACACAATTCACCGTAAGGAACAAAAATTGGTCTAAATCTTTATTACATTTCCGGACTACTGAAAAGCCAATGTAACTTACTCCATTGTTAAGAGCCGCAATCTCCTGTGGAACTGCAACTGAAGCTTTAGCTGGACTTCCAAGTGCACCAGAAGTGTATCATTGCTAAATCTTTCAGCTGATGTTAGCCAGTGATAATAAGCAGGTTCAGTGAATCATGTGACGAGGGAAGAGTCTAAAATGGCATCTTATAAGTGAGTTTCAAGAGATCTGCACATTAGAACTGGCTAAGGACAATGAACATACAAAGTCACATTTTGATTAGTTAGGGTTATTTTAATGGTGTCATCCCCTGCATCAGCTTTCAAGAGTGCACAGTTGAGATTCCATCACAAATAAAAAATTCCAATATTCAGACAGTGAAGGAGTAGGACAGTGACAAGAAAGAGGGAATGAAGAAAGTGAGTTTTAAGTTACTCCTTTCCCTCAGTATGGCAGGGTATCTTTTCAGCAGAAGGTTGGAGACCCTTTCCACCATTAAATAAGAACTAAAATTTCAATTGTTTAATTTACCAGCTTTCGTTTTTACAGCCATGCTATTTTTTAAATCTTGGACTGCTGCTTTCACTGCCAGTGGAAGCTATATAAAGTTTGCAGGAGCTCCC